ACATATAAACAAACCCTACAAATCAAAACACCTACCCTACCCCAACCCCGTCCCACTCCCAACCCCCACCCTCCTCCCACTACACAAATAACACACTCTACAAATCAAAACACCACGCAAATAGACAAAAGCACCTCCCCCCTCCCCACACTTTCCCCCTCCATCTTATCCTGATCAAGAGCCTAGCCTCCAGTTCTACCCCCACCCTATCCCATTCCCTCCCATCAAACCCACACAAACAAGCACGCGTTCATTCATAATTATTTGACGGCGAGTTCGAACCAAAAGGGGAAAAAACCCATATAAACATTCGGAGTAACCCCCCCCCCCCACCCCGCGAATAAATAAACAAATTGCGATATCAGCCATTTCTTTTCCTGTCTAAGCCATTTTCTCCCAGCATAAACAGACATTCACCCCGCCTCACCCCGCCTCACCCCACCTCACCTCACCCCACTCCCCCTACGTCACCAAATTACACACAAGATAGAGCCAGACTTGAGGTGTCGCGGTTTCAACATATCATCCCAACCTACCAAATGTTGGGTCCGGAATTCACCCCTACATCATCGAATTACCCACAAGATGGAGCCAGACTTGAGGTGTCGTGGTTTAAACCGCGCTTAAACGAGGTGCCCATTGGGGGATTGGGTCTAGTCGAGGCGGTTTCCGAGCCAGATTGAAGGCGCAAAGCAGCTATCGTGGCACAAGCCGACGGCGCCCGACTCGTCACCTTATAAAAAACGCGTTCATTTTAATACGGGGTGCCCACTTAGGACGGGATCAGACTGGATCGCCTCAAAAACAAACGTGTTTGTTTTCAGTTTCAGGCGATCGAGTCGGGCGATCGGCCCGATCCAGCTGTAGTGGGCACCTCGATTAGGCGACTAGAGGAGCGACAGCCCCCGACCCGATCCCATCCACAATGAGCATCCCGTCCTACAGGAAAGCCGAGATCTGATAAAACAACATTTTACTATCCCAAACCCTCCCTCCTCGCCCCCACCTCTCCCCACTCCCCCGAACGTTGGGTCCGGAACCCACCCCTACGTCATCAAATTACCCACAAAATGAAGCCAGACTTGAGGGTGTCGTGCTTCAAAAGCCACGCTTACAGGAACGCCGAGATCGGAGAAAATAACCATTATATTACCCCCCCC